ATTTAAACATTCACATGTATTTCACGTGTGTTACACGGATGTGCAAGGCTTCATGCAGTGCAGTCCATTCCCATTTCTCATACGTATAAACTTGCCACATTTCTTGATGTAATTTCTGTTATCAGTCTTCCCTGATTTTTTTTCCCTCGCTTTTTGTCACAGTAGAACTTTAAACTTTACTCAATTTAAGAAAACCTTTGAAAAAAGAGCAGTATTTTTGTAAAGTGCCCCCCCTACCCCGTACATTTCAAAGAAACCCTGCAGCGACTCCTGTTAGTATCAGCCATGTTGAAAGCAGATCCACTGATACTCGCTAGATCTGCGTCAAGGTGCCTCTCTACCATGTCACTGTAACGTCAATTAAAGGGAAACTCATGGAGCCGGCAAGTTTCCAGTGTCACTGTCACAGCTGTGTCATACAGAATATTTACCCAAAGGTATGAAGAGTCTAGAGGCTAGCTGTTCTGTTAAGACAGAAATGAATATAAAAGAGCGAATTGGGAAGAGGTGGAGGGAGGACTCCAGTCAAGTTTTCTGTAATTGCAGGAAGAAATTCCAGGCTCTGTTATTGCTGGACGGAACAACAGCGGGCAGGAGTGGAAACCAGCGGTAGGGAAGTGACTGCCTGATGGCACATGTCTAGTCCTCATGTGCAAAGGGAAATTACTGCGGTAAAGTAAAAGCAGGAATAAAGGAAATGCTGTTCAAAAACCAGAATAACCACGACTTCATCAGCCCTGGATTCACGGGCCCATCGCAGCGAGAGAGACAGACAAGAGAAGCACTGGGACACCAGCAGCTGGCAGACAGATAATACTGGTCTGCGCTCTGCGCTGCTTGGGGTTTTTCTGACGTTGGCAAAGCAGCGTTCAGCGCCCTGCAGCCACCGCTGCTTGTCGTCAGCGCGGGGACGGACTGTGCCACCGGAAATCTCGGTGTCAGACTCCAGAGCAAAATGAACTCGGTCACCTTAAATGATGTTACTGCATTTTTCTGAGAGAGAAAGAGGAGTTTCTTTTTTTTTTTTTTTTTTTTTTTTTTTAATAACAAAAATTTGCTTACTTGAGTTAGTGATTGTTCCTGCGGCCCACAGAGGATTCCACAGCTTTGGAATCATGGGAAAATACGTGGTCCTCGTAATTACAGGAAGGCCATTTGTACTGCTGTAGTTAGAGGGCTGCCAGCATTTCCATTACAGACCCCAGTTCAGTGGTTTATTTTTCAATCATAAAAACATGGTGCTGCCCTTCTGGATCTTGAGTCAGGCAATGATTTGTTCCGCCCTCCTCCCCAAAAAGAATTTGAAAAAAAAGTGGCTAGTTTTAAAATCTAAAAGCAACAGAGAAGTGATTAGATGTTTACTATACAGGACTTTGCATTCCTACAGTTTAGCAAGGAATTTATTTTTAAATTGCAGTATAGGTGACCTCTTTTGTATAGTGCTTTTGCAAGTACTTTTGGCTGTTTTGAAACCAATAATTTTTTTCATGCTTACATGTCTTAAATTGGTTAGACTGAAACAGATCTGTGAAGACCAACTCTTGAGATGGTTCCTAAACCAGTGCCAAGCCACTCTCCATGATATTTGAAAAGTCATGGCAGTCAGGGGAAGTCCCCAGTGACTGGAAAAAGGGAAACATTGTGCCCCTTTTCAAAAAGGGTAGAAAGGAAGACCCTGGGAACTACCGACCTGTCAGCCTCACCTCTGTGCCTGGGAAGATCATGGAACAGATCCTCCTAGAAGATATGCTAAGGCACATGGAGGCCAGGGAGGTGATTCGAGACACCCAGCATGGCTTCACCAAGGGCAAGTCCTGCCTCACCAACCTAGTGGCTTTCTACGACGGTGTAGCAACAAGAGTGGACAAGGGAAAACCAATGGATGTCATCTATCTGGATTTCTGTAAAGCCTTTGACACAGTCCCCCACAACATCCTTCTCTCCAAATTGGAGAGCCATGGATTTGAT